AAGCAAATAATAATGATATGGTAGGAGATACACACCAAACAGGATGTGTAAATTATTATATAAGTATTGTGCAATAGCAAGAAATTTTCAACTGCACAGTATTGCACAATAGCAAGAAATCTTCAATTGCACAGTATTGCGCAATAGCAAGAAATCTTCAATTGCACAGTATTGCGCAATAGCAAGAAATATCCAATAGCACAATATTGCGCAATAGCAAGAAATTGTCAATTGTTCAGTATTGCGCAATAGCAAGAAATATTCAATTGCACAGTATTGTGCAAAAAAAGATACTTTGTATAAATTGCTTATTTCTTGACCAATTTCAATGGGGGTTTTTGGCCCTGTTTTTAAATTGGTCCACATTGAGGTCCAAATGGTCCAAAATTAAACTTTGTTTCATTTCATCAAAAATTGAATTATTGGGGTTCTTTGATATGCTGAATCTAACGGTGTATTTAGATTCTTAATTTTTGGTTCCGTTTTCAAATTGGTCTACATTAAGGTCCAAAGGCTCCAAAATTAAACTTAGTTTGATTTTAACAAAAATTGAATTCTTAGGGTTCTTTGATATGCTGAATCTAAACATGTATTTAGATTTTTGATTATGGGCCCAGTTTTCAAGTTGGTCCAAATCGGGGTCCAAAATTAAACTTTGTTTGATTTCAACAAAAATTGAATATATGGGGTTCTTTGATATGCTGAATCTAACCATGTATTTAGATTTTTGATTTTTGGGCCCTGTTATCAACTTTGTTCACATTGAGGTCAAAAGGGTCCAAAATTAGACTTTGTTTGATTTCATCAATAATTGAATTCTTGGGGTTCTTTGATATGCTGAATCTAACCATGTATTTAGATTTTGGATACTGGACCATAATAGGTGAATGTCCAATTTAAAATTTTTAAGTTCTTAGACCACATTCATTCTGTGTCAGAAACCTATGCTGTGTCAAATATTTAATCACAATCCAAATTCAGTGCTGTATCAAGCTTTAATGTTGTGTCCATACTTGCCCCAACTGTTCAGGGTTCGACCCCTGCGGTCGTATCAAGCTGCGCCCTGCGGAGCATTTTATTGCTATTTAGAGTTTCTCTCCATCTATTATAGTTTTCAAGATAATATGCAAAATGGAAAAAAGTAGTAAAATTCTTCATTTTAGGGCAATAACTCAAATAAGAAATTGTCTAACAGTTTTGACGTAGAAAGATAATAGGTAGAGCTTAACATTCTGAACATGTTTGCCCCTGTCATATTTTCTCTATTAATAGCAGTTTTCAAAATAATAGACAAAACTTACATTTTACCCCTGTGTTCTATTTTTAGCCATTTCGGTCATCTTGGTTGGCGGGCGGGGTCATCGGACACTTTTTTAAACTAGATACCCCAATGTCGATTGTGGCCAAGTTTGGTTAAATCTGGCTCTGTAGTTTCAGAGGAGATGATCTGTGTTAAAGTTAACGGACGACGGACGACGTCGACGAAGACAACAGACGACGGACGCCAAGTGGTGGGAAAAGCCCACATGGCCCTTTGTGCAAGGTGAGCTAAAAAGACATCTTGAATTCAAAATACGGTCTCCAAAAGTAGACATGCCACAGGTACTAGTTTTAATATTATTCTTTTTACCTTTGTATAACATCTTATATTAAGGTATATAGGTAACAAAAAATATGAGAAAAGGGCCTATATATATATGAGCCAAATAATGGAACACCTTGAAAAAAACAATATATTATATGATCTACAACATGGCTTTCGATCATGGAATAAACATGTAGATACTATAACAGCAAATGCAAATCGACAGCTAAATTTTCTAAAACGTAACCTAAAAGTATCTTCCAAACGAATAAAAGAAAGGGCATACATATCAGTACAGCTCTTTTACAACAAAAATCAAATCAATCAAATTGAGATGGTCCAACGAAGAGCTGCCCGCTACACATTTAACAGATACCACAATACCAGCTATGTCTCAAATATGCTTGTTTTCCCGTTTGAATGGTTTTACACTAGTAATTTTTGGGGCCCTTTATAGCTTGCTGTTCGGTGTGAGCCAATGCTCCGTGTTGAAGGCCATACCTTGACCTATAATGGTTAACCTTTTTAAATTGTTACTTGGATGGAGAGTTGTCTCATTGGCACTCATACCACATCTTCCTATATCTATTGAACACATACAGTGGACTACACTACAAATGAGGCGAATAGAAATAAGACTAATAGTTTTCTATAAAATTATACACCAACATTTAGCAATCTACCCTAAAGATCTTCTTATTACATCAGACAGCAGTACAAGACATAAACATACCAACGACTATGAACAAATTCAAACCAATAAAGATTCTTACAAATTCTCATTTTATCCGTACACAATAGTTCAATGAAACCTACTACCAACATCAGCAATCCTTCGTACAATAGTTGACGGCTCACAAATATATTTTAAACAGTGCATAACATGTATTAGTTTTACCAAGAAATATTCAAAGGATAAATCTTTGTAAATTTTTTTTTGTTCACCAATGCAACGTAATATTACTGAAAAATCTATTTATTTATAATTGTATATAAGCCACGCATGCAACGGCACGCAATAGTCAAAAAGTCGTGACTGAGTGCAGAAATACGAAGATAGATAGAGACAAGCTCATTAAAACATATATCCTTAAAGTATTTTACTGATGTTTTATTGAATGTTTTGACATTTGAAACATGCCAGTCAAAATTAAGAGTTACTTCTAGTGAACAAGTAATAACTGTCAGTACTAGGGGGTACCATTCACCCACTAGTCATTCATCGGTACTGATACTATCCAAATGGTACATTTAGACTTTAAAATTCAGTTTATAAGTATTACGTCTTTGTACAAACTCTAAGATTGTAGAGTAAAATTAACTGTATATTGTATTATATGTCTCTGGTTTCATGTATTTTCATCCTATATTCTTCTATATCCTATAGTTCTACCCAACAGACATTACACACTCCACCTCTACCATCAAACATATCCGACAGAAAAAAACACAATTCACCTCTTAGACAATTATTTCCCTACAGAAACATTTACAAAGACCAATTATACATGTTATCTTCTACCCCCCAAAAAAAACGCCACTTACACCAGTTTATCAAACAAAAACAACGCATCCGTCTCTTAAATCTCTGTATCCCACAAAAACAACACGTCCGCCTCATACACTAATTTATCCTACAAAAACGACACTTCCGCTGCTTACATAAAAAAACTATTACAAAATACAACACAACCGCTTCTTACATCAGTGTTTGCCAAAATTTTTAAAAAAACCAACACGACCGCCATTTACATCAGTTTATCCCACAAAGCAACTCAGCATTCTCTTACTTCAGTTTGTCCCATAAAACAATAAATCTGCCTCTTTCATCTGTTTTATCCGACAAGAAAAATGCGTTAGCCTCTTACATAAGCTTTATCCAAAATACACACATCCACCTTTTTCATCAGTTTATCCCACAAAACAACACATTCACCTCTCACATCAATTTATCCCACAAAACAACACATTCGCCCCTTACATCTGTTTATCTCACAAATCAACACATCCGCCTCATTCATAGATATATCTCACAACACAAAACAACACATGCATCTCTTACATCAGTTTACCCCACAAAACATAACATCTAACTCTTTCGTCAGTTTACTCCACAAAACAACACATCCGCCACTTTCATTAGGTTACTCCACAACACAACACATCCTCATCTTACACCAGTTAAACTGATCCAGTATATTTATATAAGGGGGGGCACTGACTGCCATAAGAGGGGGCCCGCTACAGTCATGCTTCAGTGATTCCCTATATAATCAACCAAATTTTTACCACGAAAGTGAGGCCCCCTGGATCCGCCTATGACTCTTTATCCCAAAAAACGATTACAAAAAAAAAACCAACAACACCGCTTCTTACATCAGTGCTTGCTAAAAAATTTAAAAACCCAACACATCCGCCTCTTACATCAGTTTATCTCACAAAACAACACATCCACCTCTTACATCAGTTTAACTCACAAAACAAAACATCCGCATCTTTCATCAGTTTATCTCACAAAACAACACATCTGCCTCTTTCAACAGTTTATCTCATAAAAGAACAACACATCTGCCTCTTACACCAGTTTATCTCAACATTGCATCCGCTTCTTACATCAGTTTACCCCACAAAAATATTCCCCCCTTTTCGTCAGTTTACCCAACAAAACAACACATCTGCCTCATACATCAGTTTATCCCACAAAAGAACAACACACCTGCCTCTAACATCAGTTAACACAACAAAACAACACATCTACCACTTACATCAGCTTATCCCCAAAAACAAAACATTTGCCTCTTACACCACAAATAACTCACCCACCCCTTACATCAGTTCATCTCACAAAACAACACATCTCCTCTTTCATCAGTTTATCCCATTAAACAACACATCCGCATCTTTCATCAGTTTATCCCATAAAACAACACATCTGTCTCTTACATCAATTTATTCCACAAAACAACACATCTGCCTCTTCCATCAGTTTACCCCACAGAAAATCCTACCCTTTCATCAGTTTTTCCCACGAAACAACACATCTGCCTCTAACATCAGTGTACACCACGAAACCAACACACCTCGCGGTCTCATCTGAACAATTATTATATATTAGAGACACAATTCATCCCGCCTTTAAAATCTATTCAATGCAATACAATTCATTAGAAACACCACAGCTCTCTTACACCATTCGTATATTGTAATACAACAAACCTCGTCTCTTATAATGATTCTTTCGTATAACGAACTTTAAACCATCAAACACGAGTTCTCGCCTGTTCAATGTTTCTTCGTCGAAGATAACGGAATTGATCAACCAGTTGATTAATATAAACCAGTTTAGACACAATGTTGTTGTTTGCAAAACAAATGGTCAGCTAGGCATTTTTTTCAAATCAGTGAAAAACACCCATTATTTACATATTTAATATACAAAAATAACAAAAAGAAAAGGTGAACAAACCACTACGATATGGTTATGACAATAGGAACTTCAAGCATATAGTTATAACCTTATTGAGCAATCATCAAATAATAACTTTGTGTACTGCTTTTTTATCATCTATTACATTATTATTATTCATCAATTTGTAGCGTACAAGCAAAATAAGAAAAGCGAGAATTGTTTCATCACAATATTGATTAGAAAGACTTAATTTATTTGTCGTTGTTTTAGTCCTCTGTAGATCTGTATGAAATTGTTACATGTTTACATATACTCAATTGTTGAAAATATAATTGAATATAGTTCCATATTTTCTGTCCTCTGTAGATCTGCAGGAAATGGTAACATGATCCAAGGATTTGTATACAATACACTATACAAATCCTTGCATGATCTAACATGTTTACATATACACAACTTTTAAAAATATAATTGAGTATAGTTCCATATATTGTGGAATAGTTGGAGGGACACTGGTAACATATAAAGACACATTTTAACAAGTACAGTTTATAATCAATGAATGTTACGTTTTCTTCATTACCACATCACCACACAAGTCCATACCAACAACTTCTTCCCCATTTAATTTGAATTCACACGCGTTCACGGCTTTAAATGGATCTGCATTTGGTTGTGTTCCTTTGAGCATGGCCGTTGTAGGATCGCCATCATCATTTGTTAGGAAAAGACGTAATGTATTGGGATCTGGGTGGTTTCTTTGCCTGTTGAGATGGTATTCAGCAAAACCTGGAATGTATTAAAATGAAAATGATCGCATATATGTAAAGGTACATTATTGGAAAGAACAGATCACCGTACGGCCTTCTACATTGAGCAAAACTTATACCATATAATAAACGATTAAAGGCCCCGGTATGACAAAATGCGAAACAATATAAAAAAAAAAAAACACCAACGGCCTGCTTTATACTACAACAATAAACAAAACAAAAACAAAATTATGGCAGACGACAACTGTTGAATTACAGGCTCGTGGTTTTTGCGGGCATGCACATAAAATATGTAGCGGAGTAAAAATATTTTATATAAAGTTGAAAAATACTGCTATGTAAGTGGCAATTTTGAATGAGTTATACATATGATCGTGTTGATATATAAGATAAACAAAGAAGCTTTAAGAAAACAAAAACAAATAATGCTTCACTAATGTGCAATTCATAAACCATTGCTTGTTGCTTATTTGCTGAAAACTTGCAGAAGGTTGAATAATTTTAGAAAGAACATATTTTTTTTCTCTAGAATCCTCGATGCAGAAAACCTTGATCGAGGCAAGTGAAGATCGATATTTGCTTTTGCAGGTAAATAATGGTACGCCACTTCATTTTCTTGCTTTAGGTTCGTTTATTGATATTGTTATGCAGTCCATCCGAATTGTTTGTTTTATTCATCCGTAATTTCCTGTCATGTGGAGCAGGATCTGCTTACCCTTCCGGTGCATCTGAGATCACATCCAGTTACTATTTAAGTTCGTATTGCTCAATCGCTAGTTTTTTAGACTGTTGTTTGTCTTTTCGACCCTTTTCTTCTTTTTTTTAATAAGTTTTATTACTAAAAGGATGTTTAACGATTACGACAGATCCTGCTACAACCAGATTTATCGAAAGACCTTTATTACTTGATAGAAACATTTTTGTTCGATTAGATTGGTTGAAAGTGTTGTGTACAGAGAAAAAATCCAGAACTTTTACAAAGACAAACTGGTCACAAGAGGGAAGTAGCTTATCAAGATTGTTTAGGATTAACACTCCAGAAATCAATAGTAAAACTCATATTTCAGTTAACCTTTTTTTGTAATTTTAAGATGTTAGAATAGTTAATGCAGTACAGTGTATAGTTTTATACAGATATTTTGGAACATTACAATTGCTGACTGATGAAATCAAGTATTCAATTTCAAAAGTATTTGAGCGTCAAAAGAAATCGATTCTTACATGTTTTGTAAATTTCAATTGTATATATAAAGATAAGAAGATGTGGTTTGATTGACAATGAGCAACTCTCCACCAGAGACCAAATGACATAGAAGTTAGCAACAAAAATAACAAGATTTAAACGCTTCCCGTATGCATGTTATGCTGGTTATTTTATTTATTTCTTTGATATGATAGCCTTAACTCACCATCTCCTTTTTCGCTTAAAGAAACTTCCTTCCATTGTTCCGGTAACAAACTGTCAATCAGACTCACCATTTTGTTTTTCTACTCTGAAATAAAAAGAATACATTGCTCAGTAAAATCATGGGTGGGATGAGGATTTTAAAGCTGATTCACTAGAAACAACAGTTTTAGGAGAACACATCTCTAGCCTCCGGCTAAGGGAAACGATAAATATAGATTGATTTTTTTTCTCCACTCGAGACAGTCAAAGTTTTAAAATTTAAAACGCGAGGCTTGCCGAGCTTTTTAGATATTTAAAATTAAACTGTCGAGAGTGGAGAAATGTCATGTTGCACAAGATTAGGTGGGGGAATCTGTTTCTGAAATGATTTCATACTGCATGTAGACTTTGGTTTTTGAAACTTTGAAACAACTACTCCAAGAATTTAGTGCATTGAAGGATTTATATACTATATTTATATACTATATAAATCCTTGGTGTATTTGTGTGTTTTTCATTAATTAAGGTATCTAGGACATTGTAATAAAGCAATAAAAATTGAAACGAAATAAATATGACAAACTGAGTCCAATCTTGCATATACATATCTAAAGATGTGTTACGAAAATTGACACAATACACTTCGCACACAGAGTTCCCCCTACATTCAGTTTGTTTCCTTGCCTGATTGAAAGAAGAGATACTATTTATGTAACCGTTTCACATGATTATTTTTAAATCTCGTATGCTCTTAGAGCAGATTTTTATGTATCCACAGATTAAGCTGTATATAAGTACTATCTATAGTTACTATTTTGGAACATATTTCCATGGTGTTATTCAATTCTGTATTGGATTTAAAAAATGAGTTATGTGCATCCAAGTCAAATGGTAAAGTATAAAAAAAATATCGTAACAGTTAGAATTTGCCAGAAAAATACAATGCAGCTTGCCAATAATTTTTAATTTCTATTTTCTTTGTCTCTGCTTTATTTATTAGTCAAGTCAAGAAAAGAAGCCGTTGCTATTTTGATTAAGCTGCACCTCGCTAGTTTCTCATCTTTCATCATTGCATTGTGAAATGAGTTTGTCAGATCTCTGTTGTTTTACATTAATTACCAGTCTCTTTTGGAAAAACATATTATCTCATACAACAATCATGTTAATCATAGAACTACAATCATCTTAATCGCTGAACTACAACCGTGTTAATCATATAACTACAATCATCTGAATCATAGAACTACAACCATGTTAGTCATAGAACTACAGTCTGGAACGAATGCCCTGGACAACACTGCAAATGCAGTTTGAACATTGTCGTATTCGACATGAAATGTACAATGTGTTTGGAAACTGTACATACTTGTAAAAACAGGTATGAATCTGGGGAAAACAATTTGTGAGGCGACACACTATTATCTCGATCTCCTGTAATTTTTCCAGATAAATGCTTAAAATATGCTAAATTCTTTCAAAATTTCAGTTATAAGTAAGTATACTTTGAGTATTTTTTTCAGATGAGACGATTTTATCAGAACATACATACGCAGCTGTGAAAGGACTGCTTAAAATACAGTTGGGGGATACTTTATAACTTATAGAAACTATCAGCTGAAAGGTAATAACTTAGGTAAATATTGATAAAAATATTGAAAGCCATTTAAAACTTTTTATTTTCGTTCGTTTGAAATGGGAATTAATCATTATTAAATCTAAACGTTTCATGACGGAAAAATAATTCGCATTTTTTTTTGTAATGGAAATTTGTCCATTTTGTTATCCAACAAGAATACGAGCTCAGTATTATAATTTTTTCCCTAAAAGTTTTTATTCAGTCAATAAAAGATCAGCATTAGTACGAACTGAACACCAGTCCTGTTTTTCCCCGAGTTCTGCAGAGAATACATTTGTGTGTAAAATATCAGAAAGTATTGCTATGATTACAGTAGGTCAACAATATATCATAAGTAACATGGCTTTCTAATTATAACTTTGGCATATATGTATTAATATACCAATGTAAAAAAAAAAAACATTGTCGTAAAATGTGATAATAAAACAAAATCGATGAAAAAGACGAAATTATCAGCAATATATATAATTTAAACGTAACGGGTGCCTAAAATATGAATTAAATATTCGTTTAACCTGCATGAACTCTAGGAAAATATACATTATCCCAGAAATATTACTGAAGGATTGTAAGCGTTTTGTTATAATATAAGATTGCATACAAGAAAGTATGAAATTCATTTTAAATATTACTTGGAATTTAAGAGTTCCCTATCACAAGAAAGTTTTTTTTTTATATTTAAACAGTTATTGTTTTTTATGGGTAGTATATTTTTAACAATATTAGGACAGAAAAATAATTCTATTCAACTTTTGAATAAGCCACTATACCTGTCCATGCTTGCTGAACTTTTCTTGATAATCTTTTTTTATTTATCTATAAATGCGTCTGCTGTTAGAAAGTCAGTTAAAAAAAATTGAAAGAGGGACTTGTTTTTTTTTTCTTTCTTTTTTTACCAACAAATAATACAAATCCCTTGCTGCATATTATTTGCTATCATTTTGCCTTTTATAAGTATGAAAAAACTAAGGTTTTAACTCCCTCGTACAAAGTTAACATTATGTTGTAATGTTATACCACTGTTTCAGGTAAGGGTGAAGGTTGGCGCCTGTTAAAACGTTTAAACCCGCTGCATTTTTATGTACCTGTCCTAAGTCAGGAGCCTGTTGTTCAGTGGTTGTCGTTTGTTGGTGTGGTTCATAAGTGTTTCTCGTTTCTCTTTTTTGATACAGATTAGACCGTTGGTTTTCCTTTTTCAATTGTTTTACACTAGTCATTTTGGGGCCCTTTATAGCTTGCTGTTCGGTGTGAGCAAAGGCTTTGTGTTGAAGGCCGTACTTAGACCTATAATTGTTGACTTTTTACACATTGTGACTTGGATGGATAGTTGTCTCATTGGCACCACACCTTCTTATTTATATTATATATGTTTTAAATCATTGTTGGTCAAGTAGCTCCTCGGGTATATATGATTTTTTTCCCTTGCCTTTCAGTTAAGTTTGATTTTTGTGACATGAAGTTAAATCATGAAAAGCGCTAAGGACGCACCAAACTCAATATGTATAATTTCCCTCTGATAACAATATTTACCGACTAGCTTTTGTCTGGACTTATAACACGAAGAAAACTTATTCTTTTATGATTCACAGGTAATCTTTCGTTTATCCATCATTTAACATTGGCTAATAAGTGAATTGGCGAAAGATGGAAACAATTAACCTTTAACCCAAACAGCCGTCTTGTCATTATCGGATTAACTATTGTGCACTTTAGGATTATGTGTTGTGTTGCAATCTCACGGTTATAAGTACATCTGTAACCGTCTGACAGACGATGTGTATGATACACGATACGACAAATACATACAGCAGATGCTTCTCAACACTGAAACAGTTATTTCTTAAAGACGTACGAAACAGAAATGACCGTTTAGATTTTATTCTACAAAAATTAAATAAGGTATAATAAAAAAAGATTTTTCGTTGAACAAATCACGTAATTCCAAAATCAAAACATTATTGTAGCGCAAAAAGAAAAGTTGGAGTGGATATTGATTAATTGAGATTTATATAATTTGCAGGAAACTCGAAAATAACCCAACTTTACAAGGTTAAAGTGTTTGAGTGATTTGATTCAAAACAAATTAATAATCTGTGTGGTACAATGTAAATTTAAATGTCATAAATCAAGCAAACATTTACCATTCGTATAAGTAAGAACAGTTTGAAGTCAATGCACACAATTTCTAGTCATATTAAGGATATCCTTTTCATAAGAAATAAGAAATTTTCGAACAATAATTTAGGCGAAAATATATATTAATAAGATATAATTATCTTATCTTATCTTATCTATATTTTTTATGTTCAAGAATAAAAATAAGCCGACAAGGACTTACCTAACTTCTGAAGTACACGGATGATATTGCCAAGAAGAAAACCGTTACTTAATATATCAAGACACAATGATCAGGCATCTCTTTACCTGATTGATTAACTTAATATGTTTTGTGACATAATACTTAGGAAATGCATTAAGTAATGCTGGTTTCTGATTGGATACGGACCGTTACTACTACTTTCTGATTGGAGAGTAGAGATAATGTATTGAATGAAATAGAAATGCTCAGGGGGGTGATTCTAGTATGTACAACAGTATGACTAAATCTGGTGTTTTCAAACCGACCATGTCCATCTGGTATTTGTTAAAAACTCAAATATCATGAGAAATTGTTATCAGAAACATGGATAGGAAAGAGGTAGTTTTTGGTTTCAGCGTGACAAATAATTATACGATAAACGATAAACTAGTTTCTTTTGATGTGTGCACGGGCGGATCCATCTATGATTTTCTGAAAGGGGAACGGCGTATTTCTGTATAATTTAATATATACCGCCGAGTAGTGCTAGGCGAAACAATTTTTTGACGATTTTACACTAAACGTTTATATATATCGTGACAAACATGATATATTTTTTTTTGGCGATCAGAAGGGGGAGTACGCCCACTACGCCCCCTGGATCCACCACTGGTGTGAACTAGATTTTTACTAATGTCGTTCAATATATCTGGGTTTTTTTAAGCAACACATCTGTAACTTGCAACTAAATTTAAGCATAAATGTATAACCAATTCTTTTTATTTGTAGGCAAATTTTAACTAATGTTCATACATGTGCGCAAGTAATTTAAGACTTACTATTTAAAATGAATTACTATTAACGTCCTATGTCCAATTGCGTCCTCGGTTTAGGTAATACAAAGATGCCACAAATTATACAATATTACACAATTATACTTCCACTCCCTTCTTCTTGAAAAGAAAATATGTATGCGTACTTCTTATACTAAATCACATTTTCTACGTGCTTGCCACTCACTCAACTTCAATCCAAAAATTACACACTCCGTTACTATCCCTGCATGTGGGAGGATGTATTTATCTATGATAAACTCATCAGTTTTGATAATTTAATTAAACAAATCGGAATAGTATTTATAACATTCCTCACATTTTAACACATACTTTTT